ATCACTTTCATCCTCTTGTAGCTGTCTGAAAGCCTGAGGACACGTCTCCAACACGGCAGCTTCCAGTCGCCAGGCCTCAGCGACTCCATCATGGGCCAAGAAGAGACCCTGAATAAGAATAAAAGGTAATGATGAGAATGAAACTCAGATGAGATATAAATATAAAGTGTACGTAAATCAAGGATACTACAAGGCTTACTAACCAGAAATGCAGGCCTAGTTGAATTTCCCTACATGCTTAAGAAAATCACCTCGTCAAACAGGTGAGAGAAGCGAAGACAAAGTTTGGATAAATTATAAAATGGCAAACATCAACATTTTATTATTTAATATTTAAAAAAAATCACGTTGCAAAGTGATTTTAAATCAAATATTTTCGACTTCAAAGTTAAGAAAATTATTACAAGGAAGTTTAAGACTTGTTTTCTACAGCCCTTTTCCATGGTTAATAAGCTCATTAAATTGGAGTTATCATTAGTTTTCATTAATTCTTATACATTCAAACATCTGCTGGATAGAATAGCTAAATTTATGGCATTCATTCAGTTATTATTAAAGAGCTTGGTATAGCCTTTTTATAAATATATGATTGTAAATTTGACCTAAGGGAGACGAAGCCTTTACTTTCTATAAGGCGTGGCAAACAATTATTTGTGAATCATAATCGATTGCTAATCACCCATATACTCAATCTATGCAGCTATTTTAAGAAGCACGAATACTTATTATCTTGTAGTAATATCTACTTTAACAATGTAATTAATTATATTAGTCTGGGAATAAACTGGAACCATGCCTTAAATTCGTTTATGCTATCATTTAAGGTAACAGATATTGAATTTTCACAGCCATGAGCAAAAAATCAGTAGTTCAAGTTCGCAAATATTTCCCTTAAATACAATTTGGAATCAAAAATAAATTGAACTAAGCAGAAATAATTTTTAAAAATACATTTATAAGAACTAGAAACCTTGAAATTTAGTTATTTGTTGTGGGATTACATAAGCAACTTAATAGAATCATAAGAAAGTTTCTAATAGGATGATTGTAGATCCAGAATAGAAGCGCCTATTTTGGCCTTATCTAATAGATTATATAATGGAGCAAAATTGAATATAAGTTTGCAGAAAAGTTAAATTTATTATTTGCCTATCGAAACACAATATAATAAAAAATAATGGAATAAAACACCTATTTATTTAATTAAAATAGGTATATGAAAATATGGAAAATATATAGGGCAAATTATTTGTCCTAGCAACAAAGACCCAGGACAAAGCGGCATTTATTGCAAAACATTATATAGTATTTTAAACTATACTAAGAAAAAACATTTAAACGCCATAATAAAAGCAAAAAAGAACAAGTGAAAAATGATAAGGTTTTTGCTTATGTTCTTATCTACAAAATCACATATATTTAAAAATGCAACGCAAGTGGACTCATTAGATAATTATTAATAATTAGAATTGGAGTGTGATTATACATAGGAAAAACTATAAACATGGAAATTTAATTGTCAGTTAAAGCACTAGTTGAAATACTTGCCTTAAATATAGGAGTGGTTAGAAGTTCATATAATTCTTTGTACAGCTCTGCCTTTGAATCATCTGGTTCATAGATATAGGCTCGATCTAGAGTAGCACATATATACTCATTCAGACTGGTAATATTTCGATCTTTTGCCCATGAATTCCTGGGTTTTCCTTCCTGTTTTAGTCTGCATCTTTCAAGAGACTTAGCCACTCTGTTATGCATAACATATGCTCTGTTGAGGCGAGGATTCGATAAAACCTTTGTAAGCCAATCCCACTCGATAGAATCAGGTTGAAATTCATCACTGTTGATATAAGACTTCTGTATGTCTTGTGGTGGTTGGCGAGATAAGGCCTTTCGTAAAGAATGTATAAATCCAGGAATATCGGAAATAACTGAAGTTTTAAAACATAAAATTCCATAAATAAACAATAAAAGAATGAGCATATTTTACCGTATTAACTATACATATTGGTTTATAAGAAATATAAATGTTAGTGATATCGACAATAAAATGAGAATATTAATAATCAATATAAAACATAATATGTATTAAAAAACCTGATGTAGGCGTTGAATAAGATTTAATATCTTCGTCAAAGGCTAAATTTTCTTCTCCTATACGGTTTTCTGCCTCTTTTAAAATACGTTGTGATTGTTTGAGAGCCCTGAGCCTTTCCGAAGCTCTAAGAGAAGTCCGTAAAAACTCATCTTCTAGCTTTTTTTCTTCGTTTGATTGATGACGGCGCTTAAGCTCTTCAGCATATTTTTCATAGTCAGGTCTATTAAATCGATGGCCTATACCAATATATTAAAGTTATTACTAAGAGTATACCTTCCGGATCAACTGTATCCTCTCTCGTACGAAATCCATCGTGTTCATGAAGCTTAGTCGACATCTTTTTGAAAAACTTAAATTTTAATGGCTTATATACAGATCATGATGAGGAAGATATATTGGATAAATGTGTTGCGCGGTATTTATTCCTAGTGTGAACAAATTACCCATAACAATATCAAAAATAGTCCGGATTATTTTAGTAATTATAAATGATTAAATCAAATTAATTTTTGCTTATTTAAATTTCCCTGAAAAAATAAATTTTTAATAATTTTTGGAGTCAAATGATATTTACAATGGCCTAGAGGCAAACGAAACTGGCAACGGGATTCTCTATTCACTTTCTTGTGGCTGATAATGATATTTTTCCATATTAACTCGTTACGCATCACTTGAAGCCTTAGTTACCAACAATTAAGGATAAGGTATATTTTTTCTGCAAAAAACATTTATAGCATGTAAGATCTTGAAAGGTGGTTTGAGCATTTACAAATGTTGCATAAATGAAATATTAATAATTCGTCTAAAATATTAAAGTAATAAAGAGATTATGGAATAATCAAGTCTCTTCTCCCAAGGTGGTCATTTCTACTCTCTCTAATTAGTTCAGCAAATTTTCTACACTATTTGTTTATCTGTGAACTCTGAAAAACGACTCGGAAAATCTCTAAAATACAGGAATTACTGCCTAAAATTTGTATATATATACGATGAGAAACTGGGTTTCGATAAATCTCATGAGATAAAATAGTAAGGGGACTATCATTTCGTATGAAAAGGAATAAAAAAGAGATTCGTTCGTCAAACCCATCAGATGAGGATGGATAAATCTCGTTATACTGCAGCTACCTCTTTCAGGTGAAAACATGCTGGGCTCTCGTCCATCATATTATGGACATCATCAGAGTTGGGTGTCATTCTTGTAAAGGTGTCAAGTTAACACTAGGGCAAGAAAAATATCCGGCTCTATCTTACTTCTTATATAGACTCAATTAAGCCAAAAGCAAATAAAAAATCTAAATAGATCGATATAGAGTGGTTTGATTAATTATCTTTCATAATGGTTCGGTTACTTTTCCTCTAGTGTATGCGTATGCGTATTTGTGCAATACATTTCCTAAATCAGAGTTGTCAAAGGGTTAATCTCAGGTTCTGATCCTAAAAACCTAATAACCGAAAAGAAAGCCTTGACCGAGACTGCATAATTCAGTAAACAAGTATGGTTGAGATAATGATATATAAGCATGTAAGCATTGAAATCAAGTTACGAAACCACTTATGCTAACCTCTCAGTGTAGAGTCATTAACGTTAAACCCCCCTTTTAAAGGCATAACTGGGGTTGCGTAATCTGGCATGTCTGGTTTGATTGATGAACTTAATCTAACATGTTGAATAAATGTGAGTAAAAATAGAACCATCACCAAGCAGACAAATTGATTTGCCTTCTTTTTACGGCGGCTCAAAACACTTTCTCCCTTTCAATCTATCAATTGAGCATAAGTAGTTCTACTTATAGATACGAAGAAAAACTGGGTTTCGATGAATCTCCTGAGATAACATTGTTAGAGGGACCTACATTTCGTATGAAAGTGCATG